AGCCTGTTCCCAGCACCAACTTGGTGATCGCCACTGCTGAGCAAGGGCTGGGAGCTCCCTGCATGGAGAGAGTTCCTCACCCAGCCTGGAGCTGGCTGGGACCTGTCAGGAACAAGACAGGTCCCATCCAGCCCCGGGCTGTGTGGGGAAGTCTGCACATGCAGCCTGAAGGTGGCTGGAGACTGTCCCATTTCAGGCAGTTCCCAGCCAGCTCCAGGCTGCACATGCAGACTTGCCCGCGCAGCCCAGGGCTGGCCAGGACCTGCCCTGGTCAGGGGCAGGACCCAGCCTGATGCCCTGATCCAGCAATTGAGGCATGGAGCTTGGAAAGAGGTGCAGGGGAAGGGCAAGTCCCAGCCCCCTGCCCTGATCTGCCAGTGGGGCAGCTAGCAGTGAGTGCCTGACTGGGCAGGGAATCCCCACCCAGGCAGGGGCTTGCTGCTAGCTGCCCCACTGGTGGATCAGAGCAGGAGGCTGGGACCTGCCCCTCCCTTGCAGCTCTTTCCAAGCCCCTGCCCCTGACTGGGAACCAGGGCCAGGAGCTCTCTGCTGCCAGGACATGGGGACATTGTGCCCAGCCAGGCTCCAGTGGCAGAGCCTTCCCCAACTGCAAGCACCTCCTGGGGGCGGGGAGCAATCTCCCAGCCATTGGCGATGCATAGCGGGTACATAGCAGGTACAAGTGCACCCCCTGAGATTGGCAGTGCACCCCCTGAAAGAAATGCTGCTGATGCTGCCAGGGACACCTGCGGGCAATCGCTGCTTACCACCACCACCCCCCCACCTCCCCTTCCCTCTCCCACCGGCAATCACCACTGGCCACTGCCAACACTGGTGGTGGCGTCTGCAGGTGCTCGCCACTCCCTCCCACCCTTGCTGCCAACACCACCATGGCTGCCTGTGAGACCTCTCCGCTCGCTGCCATGGCCCTGCAGCCGCCACCACCACCACCACCTGCAGGCGGTCGCCATGCCCACCCCAGCCTCCGGGGGCATGCGTCGTTCATGCTTCCAGCCTCTGCCAAGAGACAGCTGTCTTCTGGCCCTGTGCTCTAGCCCCTGGGCTAGCACCCAGGGGGAGCCTAGGGCTTCCCCTGGGTGCTGGAGGGGGCCAGTGCAGGGCTGGAGGGGGCAGGAGCTGACTGCTGCCAGAAGCAGCAAATCTGCTCCTGCATCCCCACACCTGTAAATGCCTCCCCGGGGTCAGTTTACTTCAAAGTAATTTACTCTAAATTAAACCCACCCCACTCGAAATTAAACCCACCCCATTTGCATGCATAGACAAGCCCAATTAGACTTCTAATTATCACCACCCAGGTCAAAAAAGAGGCAAGATCAGCCTGACTTTTTATCGTCACACCCCAAAAGCACAAGAATACATATGCCTAGTTAGTTACAAGTTTTCACCTATCCTAGCTGGGGAGACGCAGGAAGGAAGTAGCTGAGGAGGGTCAGGTGAGACCCTGTCCGGTTCAGTTTGGTTTGCAGTTTCCTCTCCCTGCATGTCTCATTAGCTCAGACTGTGTGTTCTGGGGTTTGGCATATCACCATTTTGCAGTGTGGTTGGAAGCAGTAAGTCAGACATAACCAGGAGGGTTGGCGGGAGATGAAGAGTCTTACATCATACACTGGCCACTGCTGCCATGATACAAGCTGCTACCGCTGTGGTGCAAGCTCCCCAGGAGCAGCCATTCAAACACCCAGGGTTGGTGCCCCCCCCCTTATTCACCCCTAGTTATGCTACTGCAGTGAGTTATTCACAGGTGCTAAGCCTAGGTGATGCTCAGGGAGGGTGTCCCATCACACCCCGCTAGTTACACTGCTGCCTAGAAAACGCCTCACCTGGGTCAGTGTGTCTATATGAGTGGTGGGGGGAGCAGCAACCCTGCATGGATGAAGTGGATTATGTGATGTTATAACTCTGTAGACACCCCCTGATTGTGTTGTTTGAGAACAAATTGCATAACCCTTGGAACTGAGGCACCTGAAGGCCACTGTGCAGAACAAAACACTGGCTGGGTCTTGAACAAAGTGGATGGAAATGGGGCCCACACCTTCTTTAGCCTGATTCAACAATACATTAGCAATGAGGATGGCTCATTCCTATCTGACAGCTACTTGAAGTCCTGCATGGGCAGTAAGAGGTAGCCGTCTCTGCCCATCCCCTCATAGGAAAGATATCCATGTCACAGTCACTCACGCCTCAGCTGGCCTGTTTCCTGCAGCCTCACTGGTGAAGCTAAGCAGTGACCAGGTCCCAGATCTTTAACAAGCCCTTGAGGTTCATTCCAACTCTACCGTGAGGGATGCTGGTGGGAAAACTGGCCCATGTGATGTGATGTCATGAACCTGGGCAAGGCAATGGGCTTCTGCCCAGCAGCTCCCATGGTGATTAAGTGCCAGAGCAGCATATTTATGTCCTGCAGAGCAGGTGCTCTGTGGTTAGTGGGCTCTTAGTACCCTCTTGGGAACAACACCATGGTGCGCCATTCCTCATTGAATCTCCAAGCATTTGCATGGACATAAGCACCTGCCTCTCTGTCTTCCCTGTGCATTGATAGCCAGAGTCAACAAGGAAAGTCAACAGCTCAAGGAAAGACATTAAAAGAAAAAAACTACAATTTGAAAAGGTTGTTGGGGAATTAAAAAGCCATCTAGTGCCAAGTGCCCTTGAGGACCGGGGTTGGTGAGCAATACTGACCCCCCCCCCCCCCCCC